TTTTTCATACAAAATTAACCTACCTTCACTAACTAACAGCTTAACACACAGACTTGTCAGTAAACATCATGCATACCTTCATCATCGATTGATTAAACACACATGATACATCCAGAACTTGCACCAATTCCAATTAAGAAGAAAGGAAACCAACAGAAGCTATTGAAGACACTACATCCAATAGAAAAAGAAAAACCCTGATCTCGACCTCTAAAGACGAAAGTTGTATAATAAATCTGATGCCTGATTATTAATTGATTCTACCTAGACTATTCAGACAAGGAGCTTAAGACATTTCATTTATACTCATTAGCAATGGATCATAAAAACTAGAGATATCAGTCGACAGCAGCCAGTGGCTGATTTTGATGCCGATAAAAACGAGAGATATCAGTCGACACTCAAGTTTGTTTAGGAATGTATTGTTACATGAAATCTATTAAATCATGTCAGATTGGCAATCACTGCATCAAAATCCATAATTCGCATCAAATGCAATAAACTCGATCAATCAAATTCATCAATAAAAAATTTACCAGTTGACGATCGAGATCAATATCCTTCAAGTCATTGGATGATAAAGAGAAAATGGAGCAAAAAGAAGAGAGAAGAATGTTACCAGTTGACGATCCAGAAAAATCTACTAGTTGACGGAGCAGGAATCGAACGGCAACGCAAATGAGAGTGAGAGGAGCTCCGATCGATAATGGCGTAAGTGATCTGAGGAATGAGGAATGTGATCGGCGATTGACAAATCAGAATGCTGTGAGTAGCAACGACCGGCGTGATGATGGCTAAGCAACAGCGGCGACAGGTTGAGAGAGGGAGAGATGCGATCTTTTGAACGTGATACCTCTAATTTGGGGTTGGGGAGGAAGTAGATTTGTGTAGATTTACTAATTTGCCCTTAAGGCCATGAGGTATGGGGGGATTTACTACGCGTCAAAACAAAATATTCACATCACAGACAAATTTGGTGTACAGCTTTGTTATTTTTCTTTTCAATTTAGAGGTAATTTTATATAACACCCCTTTAAGTTATATATTATTTACATATATCACCTTTTCCATTTATATATTATTTACATATAACCTCTTTCGATTTCTATATTTCCAAGATCAGATTTTAAATTGCTTTTGTTTCAATAGCTTCCTACTAGTGACAATTTAATATATAATATTCAGCTGTTCAAACAATATAACATACTAATATATAATAACACCTAGAATATTAATAACACGTCATCATTTTTCATCCATTCTTTAAAACAATCAATATGTGTGAATTTAACACAATCAATACCATCATATAGCAAACATTTATAGTTTAGTTAACTAAAAGTAGATATTTACAGGCGAACGGAGTTGAATTCAATTCCATTCTCCTTACAAACTCTTCTAACCAAACACGTTCAAATTCCAATTCCTTTGACCGATTCCATTCCTTTGATACATTTCAAAACCTATAAATATCTACTTTTAGTTAATGATAGCAAACATTTATAGTTTAGTTACTACAAACACTACTTTCATGTTGTGTTGAATCAAAAGGGCATTTAGGTCTTTTGTCCCACCTTTCTGCCTGGGACAAAAAATTGCTAGTTTTGTCCTATTGAAACGAGTCTCGGTCAAAAGATATGAATTTTGGGACAAAAGATTATGGATAACAAGGGCATTTACGTCTTTTGTTCCACCTTTTTATAGTTGGACAATATTAATCAAGCAACAACACTGGTGAAAATGATCATTATTCATTCGGTCATTTTACCAATACAATATAACTTTGGGATAAACACTTGAATGACTACAATAACCTTCATGTACAATTTGGGGGCACATTATGGAAGTCGTGCAATAATTGCAGAAATGGTACCTGGTTAATCTGAAGACAACATATATGGTCCATGCGTTTCATAAAAAAAAAAGAATTTGTCCATGCCTTTTAGAGAATTTACAGATATGACCCATGTGCTTATAAAAGTTACATAAATGGTCCCTGCATAATAGTGACTTTACAGATATTGTCCCTCCGATAATTATATGTAACCCATAGTAGCAACATTATTATTGGTAAAAACAATGCAAGTATGTTGCTCTTTTGGTTAAGAAATAAAGTTATAACAGTAAATTTCAAAAACAATTATGTAGAAATTGATAAAAGTACAATAAATTCAAAGGGGTAAAATGAGTAATTACCTTAAGATGCTAATCACAATCAAAAAGATTATCTTCTTCGTCGTTGTCTTCTTCTACTCTAAAAAAAGTGTAATATAGCACCATACTTTCAATTTTTTTTTTCTATTAAACATCCTAATTTTAAGTTCTTTTCTTATAATACATCATACTTTGAAAAATTGTCGGTTATGCCCTTTGCTCTAAATATTGAACATCCATACAAGTCACTTGTTGCTGCCCTTAAGAGATTAGCAATTACAGACAAAGAAAGAGAAAACCTAGAGGTGCAGAGGTTATAACTTATAACATGCTTTCTTGATTATATGCTTATTCACCAACTTTCATTACTAATAATTACTAATAATCATATTAACATGATTTATACTTTTAGAGTGTGAAAAATATTTATTTATTGTTTTTTTTAATAGTTGAAACTGAGAAATTCAGAGAAGAAGTTGCAAAGGTTCGTGCTGAACTAAAACCTTAGGACAAAGAACTAATTGAGCACCAAGGAAAGCTTGAAGTGACATCCACAGAAAAGAAACTTTTGTCTGAGAAGGTGAGGGGCATTTTTGGGATTTCATATCTTTAAATTATGATATCCGTTATAACGGTTTAATGACATAGTATTACAAGTAACAAATATTACATTTGAATCATTAAAAAGTTTTAAAATCTGAAATAGATTTGAAACATGAAGATTAAATTTATCTGTATGAATTATGATTAATTAATTATTTCTTAAATTTGTGAATATTTTAGCATGAAGTTGGACGTGTGGCATATTTGGATGCTCAAAAACAATTGGATGATATACAAAAGAAAGTTGAAACAAAGACTTCAAGCATAAAAGATATGCAAACCAAGTTAGAAAAAAAACAAACTTGATTCATCAAAAGCCCATAAAATAGAGCAAGTACGTTCATTTCCTTGTCTCTTTTTCATATTTCCAACTCTACCCTTGTTGTCAAATTACTAAATAGTTATCATTTTGTGGTTTTTCAAGAATGTATAAAAGAACAAGAGGCTCTAATGACTCTTGAACAAACAGCAAGACAAAGAGCTAGTTTACAAATTTTATATATTTATTTCAGGTGTCATCCAAAAAATGATATTTATGGGAACATGGTCAAACATAACAAATTAGAGAATCTGAGAAGTAAAAAGATAGTCAAACATAACAAATTAATGACATTTAGCATATCAGATTGCAACAGTTGCAGGGGGGTCTCATTAAGGAGACTTAAATGAATCAAAGGCAGCAAAAAAAATCATTCACACACCTGAGTAACAATGAAAATATTTATTACTAACAATGATGATGCAAGTCTTGGGTTTCTAAGAAGCGATAATGCAAGAAGATATGTGAGACACCTTCCTCAGTTCGCTTATATGAACGAATTGATGAATTCGATTTGGAGTTGACTTTTTGGAGTCAAATATGGTTCGACTGATTTTGGCTGTTCGCAACAGGGACGTTAAATGCCTTGGGGACGATCGGGTTTCGCATTGAATGCTTATACTTGGGTCAATATTGAGTTCGCATCTACGATCAGCTATTGGGGTTGTTGATGCTTTGCTTTGCTACTGCAGTGTGGTTTGTTCATTCGCATCTAGTAACAAATTTGGGGAAGAAAGAAAAATGTTCGCATATGGTCCTTACAGTTTCAGTGTTTTGGCAGTTACTACCCACTTTCGCAATAGGAGTAAAGTTTTGTGAAGTATGCAGAATTTTCTATTCGAATCCCTATAGTTTATGCGAAGTGGCAAATTACAGAATATTTATAATGTAAAAATTATATTATAATTAAATTTTCAAAACAATCAAAAATAATATTTTATTTTTGTTGTTGAGTTTTCAAAAATAATTATGTATTTTTAATATATTTTTTTTCAATAATATTCTATATTTTGCTACGGAAACATATTCCGTAACTACTTAACTACGGAATTTTCCGTAGCCAAATACCTATGGATTTTGATTTCGTAGCTATTTTGCAAATTCACCTTTTTGTAACAAATTCCATAATAGATTAGCTACAAAATTTTATTTTGTAGCAAATTTTCCTAGCAAAATAGCTACGGATCCTAATTCCATAGCTAACTAGCTACAAATTTTTATTTTGTAGCCAACTAGCTACATACATGGATTTTGTAACAAGTTTCATAGAGAACTAGCTACAACCAAAAAACTTGTAGCATTATTTGTAGTAAACTAGCTACGGATTTTAATTCCGTAGCAACTATTCAAGATTTAGCTACGGAATGCAATTCCGTAGCCATTTCCGTAGCAAATTAGTTACAACCAACGATTTTGTAACATATTCCGTAGTAAAATAACTATGAATTTAGATTTCGTAACAACTTTACGTAGCTATTTAAGATTTAGCTACATAATGCAATTCCGTAACCATTTATGTAGCAAAATAGCTACGGCAAGTGGTTCCGTAGCATATTCCGTAGTAAAATAGCAACGGATTTTGATTCCATAGTAACTTTCGGTAGCTATTTAGGATTTTTCTTGTAGTGGTGTAAGCACAAATTTTGCCGAAAATGTTATTCTTGAAAAGTTCATGTTTAAGTTGTTCTACTTTAGCATGAAAAACTCTAACAATCAAATCAGCTCTATTTTGGCCTTCTTCATATGGTTTAAGAGTTTCTTTTATTTCAAGCCAATTAGGATTGCATGTCATAGTTAAAAAAATATCAGGCTTACCGAACTTTTGTACCAAGGCCATTAAATCTACATATTTTTGTCTAATGTTTCTAGGGCCACCAATAAAATTAGAAGGTAATACTATTCTTCTACCAATAGCAGAACCCTCTTATTCCCCTTTTGCCATTGCATCCACAACTCCTTGCAAGAATTCTTGTCTTAGTTCTTCCTGCTGTGTCCTAAAAAAATCTAGTCTTTGTGTTTCTAATTTAACATAGCTGTCAACTATATATTGTTGTAGTAATCTACCAAAATAGAGTAAAAAAGTTGTGTCATCATGCTTTATCTGAAGCTTATAAGCATAATACTCTCTAACAGATACAACCCTGGGGTTATCTGCGTTTCTTCCAAGCACTGTATAAAAAGAGAAAAGAAGTAAAGCACAATAAAGTTTGCCCAAAAAAATATAAAAATAGAAAAAGTAAGTATGTTACCAGTTTCTTCCATCTTTAATAAGTCATCCGCACACACTATACTACCAGGAGCAATAAGTTATTCTGCAGCTGAATGCAAACCCTGCTTTCTAACTGGGGTTGTTTTATTTTTTTTTTAAATACCTTGATGCCAGCCTAGTTCTCCTAAAGGAAACATTAAAGGATACTGCAGAGGATCATAACAGCCATAAAAATACTTTATATTTCTAGAGTCAGCTTCATGGGTTGTAACTCGGATATCTCTTGGACCACACTCCCCATTATCTTCACCGTCTACCCAAATTGCAGCAACCTGTGACACATCGGGTTTATTATAGACTCTTTGGTCTTGAACAGCAACAGTTTTAAGAACAATCTTATAAGTATCCAAGTCTCCAATATTCTTCAAACTGCGGAAAAAATAAGCGTATGGATTATGTTGAAGATATTTTATACACTTCTGAACCATAGTTTCACATATCAGTGGACAAACCATTAACCTATTTTGGATCTCATGTTCAGTATCATGAATATATAATTGCAGATTTTTATGCCGGTCATTTTCAGAGTATAAACCATTTATAAAATGATACATCTGACCTTGAACTCTAAAAGTATAAATCCCGCTGTCTCTCTTATTGAAATTAGGATTAGATGTAGCACCTAAGGATGTAAAAGCGAAATGGTTATTATATGTTCTAATATATGTTCTAAAAACCTTTGCTTCGTGACAGTCTGAAGTTAGAAGTTCAATCATGACTGTTGGAAGATGATTACTATACAAGACAACACTGCCATGTAAACAGCAAAAACCCGATGTTTCTGAATAGAACTTTAAAGCTCCACAATGATGACAGTCAGGAACGTAAGGTAAGATATCAGCAACAACAAGAACGAACTTTAATAGAGCTCTACCTGTTGCATGACCAGCAATATTATGCTTATTTTTACGATTTTTGTTGCTTTGAAATGGATTTCCTTATGTAATTTTTTTTTCCGTTCAACTCTTTGTTGTTTCCATCTTAAAATAGCACGTTTCCTATATGTTTTCCTATCCTCAAAATCCAAAGAAGGCTGAACATCCTTCATGATAAATTTATCAACCTTTTCAATGAGAAAGAACAGATGAATATAGATGTGCAATAAGAAACTAAACAGTCATCATCTGTAACCAATAATAACATATTTGAAGACGTTTCAGATGAAAAGAAGGCAACACCTGATCATAAGGTAAGCCTGAAGACGATAATCTACAAGAAAAAAAAAGGAAAATTTTAAGGAGAATATAAGCAACAAAACAAATATTACTAACCAAAAAAATAGCATAACCCATTAGAATAAGATATTTGTATAGACCTTTAGCAAATCAGATACCATTCTTTGTAAAAACAATAACGAAAACCATTTGAAATCGGGGTAAAAGAAGAAACATAACAATACTTCTTACCTTAGGTCCCCCTAATCAGCATGCGTAAAATACTGCACAACTAATTTGAACCCTTATAAACCCTCAGAATAAGTACGCAGATCTAAGAAGAATATGAAAGGAAGCTCTCGTAATGTGAAAAGTAAAAAAAACCAACAAATAAATAAATATCTGAAACAATGAATACCAATTGATTTAATTGGGCAAAAAGATAAACCGGTTACTTTAATTGGACCATACCCTATACAACATACAGCAGCAACACGTACTCACGTAGCATGACTAAAGGCGGTGTAAGTACAAATATCCAAAATTACTTGTGGGGGAAGAAAATTGTTTGGGATAAGCACCAGGTAAAATAAAAATAAAGCCAAAATTTATTACGTAAGAATAAAACAAAAGTAAGGATGATAAATAAAATAAATTGGTTAAAGAGAAAATTGAAAACAAAAAGGACCACAAAAAGAGGCATCAATCGGACCAAACATTGGAAAAAAATAAACTATATTGACATATATGTTAAAACTTGCAGCCACAGTTTTCTTTATTGGAGGAACTAAGCAAAGAAAATAGGTAAAATAAAAATAAAGCCCAAATTTATTAGGTACCAAAAATTGGAAAAAAGATTAAAGTATATAGACATATATATGTTAAAAGTTGCCGCCACAGTTTTTTTATTGGAGGAAGTAAGCAGCTGGATGACGTGCACCAAAATAGTAATCTTGAACACACACATATATATATATATATATATATATATATATATATATATATATATATATATATATAGAGGTAAGTTCAATTGAGAAAATAAAAAATGTTGAGAATTGAGGAATCATTTTCAGCCACTCATTTATTTTTGCCGCAAAAGCATCCGTCGTACCAGCGGAAATGGGAAAACAATAGACATGTGTTTTACAACAAAACATGTTTCCTTAAACTATGTTAATCATTACCTTAATATATGCAAAAACATAATTTTTTTCGTTTTTTTTTAATTTTTAAGAAGCTATTTTTATCGAAAAATGATTTTAAATATACCAAAATTTATGATTTTTTATTCTCTACAAATAGACATCCATATTGATATAGTTTTAAGATAAAATAAAAAATTTATTTTTATTATAGTTTCAGCTATCGTTATTCATAAGTGAATAAAATTGCATCAGGTTTTTTCTACAGTACATTCGTTATTCACTTATGAATAAAAAATATGAGTAATTTTTTTTTACAATTTAAGTATCATTCATATATGAATATAGCATATAATAAACATAGTATATTCATATTTAAATATTAGACGATGCATTCACTTGTGCATATTACATAGTATATTAACTTGTGAATATTCGATGATATATTCAATTATGAATATTAGATGATATTTTCATATGTGAATATTACATAGTATTACATGATATATTTCACATGTGAATATTACATAGTATATTCACTTGTAAATATTAGATGATATATTCATTTGTGAATATTACACAGTATATTCACATATGAATATTACAAGGTGTTTTCACAAATATATATAATTTTTATATGTTATTTACATATGAATAACATACAGACTTGCATATTTGTTTTGTGTTTTAATAATCATATACTGATTCAGGTGAGAAAACATATGCATATGTGAATATAACGTGGTAATTTAGTTTATCCATTTCATCAAACACTTGGAGTGCATACAAGTTAACTTTTTTATAAGAATGTTAAAAACATGATACTTTGACTATTTAAATCTTACAAAATAGTATATTGATACAGAATTATATGAAATTTTTCAAAAAAACAACGATTTGATCTTTTTCTAACCTTAATTTTGAAGTTTTATTTGATGATCGATGTTGAATGAATGATATGAAGTGGATTTTTTGTTGATTATCGATGATGTTGATCTAATGACACTGGGAGTATAATTAATCGTAGATGTTGAAGATCTGGTCGTATTCAAGCAAAATTGAAGGTTGGATTAAAAGAAATAAAAACGAATTTTTGTTGTCAACCGTTGAATGGTGTTGATAAACGTTTTATTGACGAAGATCGATGATTGATTAACACTGGATGACGTTGATGATTGTTTAATTGAAGAAATCTGGATGATTGTTGAAGGTTGGAGAAGAAATTTGGATGATGAACGATAAATGAGTTTGAACTGTAATCTAATTCTCTACAGTTACGTATTTGAGATTGAAGGTTGTTATCATATTTACAAGTTTGCCACCGTGTCTTTTTATGCTTAGATTAAATGATTGGCTGAGAATGATTCCCTCATTCTCAACCTTTTTTTTCTCAATTGAACCTTCCTCTCTCTCTCTCTCTCTCTCTCTCTCTCTATATATATATATAATATATATATATATATATATATATATATATATATATATATACTAGACGAATCCCCGCGTGTTGCGCGAGAATAGAATTATATAGTTAAATAATAACTTTTACCAAATTATTATTTAATATTTCTACTTTGAAACAAAATGTTAGTAGTAAAGCAAATATATAGTAAACATATTAGGTTTATTAAATATTATAGTTTAACTTTAAATCATTGTGATATATACAATTATTTGATAATTTTATAAACCGTTTAAAATTGTGTAAATTATATATCAAATGAATGATAATATAACGGGTAACAAAACGTATGCAACTTTTAGTAACAAAAAAATAGAAAAACAACTATTATAACATTTGTATTAAAAAAGATATATATATATATATATATATATATATATATATATATATATATATATATATATACAACGAATAATAAAAAATAAGAAAATAAACACTATAACTTTTAATAACATAAAAACACTAAAACATCTATTATAACATTTATATTAACTCATCATATTTAAATAACAAATCTCTTCAAATACATTAATGTTTTTAATGAGCAAAACTTTACAACCTTATAAAAGAAATGAAAATAAAAAGTTATTAGTGATTACTAATTAATAATCATAAGTTAAAAACTCTTGAGTTGTAACTAATAAATATACATAAATTAGAAAACTCTTGAGTTGTAGTGTGAGTTTCAAATGAATGTGGTACTTCGAAATGTATTATTATTATTATTATTATTATTATTATTATTATTATTATTATATTCGTCTAAATAATTGGTTTTGATGCATCATTTTAATCCCTTCAATTATTAAACATAAAGATATTTAATTATAAATTTATAACATACATAGGTGCATATACATGTTAAACAAATCACATATAATATATATATTTTCGTAAATGTCATATTTAATTCTTGTCGTAGTAATATGGATAAATTACTTTCATATGAAGAACATATCATGATAAGTCTATCATAATTACATATCAAATGTTCAAAATTATGTTATCTTTTAAATATTGTATTTTAAATATGTTCTTTGTAGGATAACCCAACAAAAAAATAATAGAAAATAAACATAATCAAAATAGAAAAACTACAATCAAATAAATAAGAGCATTGGGTGGTTGAATATATAAATAAAGATGTTACATAAACATACATTTAAATCAAAAGAAAAAACTAACATTCGTCAACTTTGCTCAAACAAAAAAACATATATCCATTTTATGAATCTTCTTTCTTCATTTAACACCATTCAACCATAGAAACTTGATGACAATTCTTCACTAACCTGCAATCAAAATATTTTTCATGAAAAAGAAGAATCAGAAAGATATTCCAAGCAAAACATTGATGTTTGGAGAGTCACATTCAAGATTGAGTAATACACACAAATCACATATAAAGATTAAATGAGAAACTGAATATAAAGAAAGAATAGAAAAGCTTCATTTGTTTTGGTTGAAAGAAAAAATCATATTACAATTACCATCGATGCGACATAACCCATTTCTTCAAATCATCATATTTGGATCGTGAATGCTTCAACTATATGAAAACTTTTGAATCACAATATCTTCAAATCCTTCTTACATGTAAGATTTTATATAACACAAAAGACACAAAAGATTGGCCTTTTTATAGTAAACTTTTCACTAAATGCTAA